AGATGTGTATAAGAGACAGGGACAAAAGGAAGCAGTAGATTTTAGCTCATATTATCATCATTATCAAAAAAATGTACTTTCTAATATATTTTCACTAATATAAACAGGGAAAGTGACAAAAAAGAGAATTTTTTACTGTTAACTTACAAATACCTATAGGCATATACATATATATTTAAGAAAACATTACAATGCATGTCTTAAAGTTACATATAATTTATGCTTGTCAAGACCTTTTCCTAGAGAAACAAGCATGGCTGGAAAAGGAGAAAGTAAGTCATCTATAATTATACATTCAATTCGTTCAGACTTTTGCACAACATATGCATGAAGATGTGTATCAAAGTTTGACGTTATTAAAATTTGACAAATTAAACAAATTCGACCTTTTTCATTTCGTAGAATAGATTTTATCAAACCAAAAACGGGTAGTGAGTCATAATAATGCTCTTTACAGTGAATTACTACACATGTTCCTTTTCTGTAAGTCCGACCATGAACTTCAACCCATTTCGTTATTAAACAAGTATCATCAAAATGAGGCAGTAAAGTTAACTTAAATAATATATAATTATGACATAGAGATACATATTCAACATATTCGTCATTACCGTCTGAGTTATTAGACTCTAGGCCTTTGTGGGTCATCAATCTGTGGCAAAGACATAACTGCTCTTTAATACATAAAATACATATAATATTTCTTCTTGATGTTGCAACATTAGCCTCCTTTTTCTTATTTTTGTGTTTTGCTTCTAATCGAATGGTACTCAAATTACGAATAGGTCCAGAAAACTGAAAAATAGTGCCATAATGAATAAAATTATATGATTTTGGAGTAAATCTTTCATTTGGAAATAGCTACGCAAACATCATGTGAAACTCGTTAACTACTCGAAAAAGATTTTATGTTTCTCTTTGCAATTTCGGAGTTAAAATTAAATCCATAATTTTTCTCATTTTTAAATATAATGGCCACATTTTATTGTTTTCTGGGATAAGATCTCCTACAAACATTGCAAACATGAAAATAAAATTGGATGATTCGCTACCAGACATTGACAATTTTTTGTTTTTAATCTCATCATAAGAAATTAAAGGTGGCTTAATAGATATATTGTTGTGATAATAATTAAAGGTTTTTAACCGATCATTTATATATTATTCGGAATATTGAGTGAAACAATGCAAGGCTTCTTTATAATGTAATGATACACATTGTACAATATACATTGTACAACTTGTTACAAATTTGAATCATTCTTCAGGTCTATCATGTAACCAGTCAGCAGTAAAATTTTGACTTGTTTTAAAGTAAAAAATCTGATCCCAAATTGATTTCTCTTTTACACCACTTTCAGCTGTATCTTTTAGCAAAACAGATTCATAAGTATGTTCTCTCATTCTTTTTTCAAAAAATTCCGTTTGCCACTGGTGCTTAGAAGTTTTACAAAGTCTGCAGCTGTAATGAGCATTGAAACTCTCAACAAAACCACGAATGCCATTTAATCTAAGATTATTCTTTAAGAGAAGACCAAGAGCAAAATAGATTCTAATTTTTTCTCCTTTGTTGGGTTCAATTTCAATTCCTTCAGTTTGTAAATAATTAAGTTTATCAATTAAAATATTGAAAATACTAAGATTATTGAATTCTATTCGATCTGAGGAGTGAAATAACATAGAAAGAAAAATATTTTCTAGGAATGAGTTTACTTCTGGCGAAAAGCATGCAATAGAATAATACACAGCACCTAACTTTTGAATGCCAGTATGTGTTCCTAATGCATTGTTAACTTCAAAATCATTATAGTAAATAAAAAGGGGAAATATAATTATTCTGAATAATTATTCTGAAAATGAAACTTAATTTTATTGCGCCAAAGATCGCCTTGAATGAAATTTTCAATAATATTATTTTCTTGTAATAATGTATTAACATAAGAATTTACAAATAAAAAACATGAGGAAGATTAAATATTTTCTGAAGCACTACTCTCATAGGGATAAACTTGGCAAAAACTGGTACAATTTCTTTAACTATGTGGCGGTCGTCTTCCGCTCACACAGGAATAAAAAAAAAACATACAACAACTACCTGACCTGCTAGCGCAGTGGATAACGCACGTTTTAAGCCCCGGAGGACCTAGGTTCGAATTCCACATATATATTTTTCCGATATATTTTTCTGTCTCTATACTCTATAGTATACAAGCTCCTCAAAACACGCTACCGCCAAAAACTATGTTGCCATTATACAATTTTTCATCTGTCCTTTGCCCAACTGTGATTTACACTGTTAATAAAACAGTCAGTCTCTGAAAATGCTTTAAATCTTCGACATTCTGACGAGAGCTCTGAAAATGGTTCAAGCAATTGTTCTAAGCAAGATCCAATACTAACTATTGTATTTTGATTTACTCCATTATTAATCAATATATCTTAATTGGTTCTATACAGGATTGGCAAGTAACGCGTTACTTGTAACGTCGTTACCGTTATAATTATTTTTTTTCAGTAACGAATAGATAACGACGTTACATTTCCTTATAAGTAATCTTAATATTAACGCAGTTACATTTTTTGGATAACGGTAACGATTTGATTAGTTACTTTTATCGTTACTTTATTTCTAACATCGCGTATAGATTGGGATGTTTGATTTCCCACCCAAGTGCTGCTCAGACATCATTGCGTTCAGGTATTTTTGTTACTCACCGAATGTTAAACAAGAATAAATTAATAGCTTGGTGGAATTTAGATAGGAATCTAAATGCACCATGGGTGAGAATTGATTCAGCAATCAAAGTCCTTCATATATGTATATTACACATCTATACTAAATGTATACATATACATATGTATACGTATATACAGGATGGTCCACTTAAATTGAACTCCTTGAAAATATCTCACTTATTTTTGATGATTCGAAAAAATGTTTTAGATGAAAGTTCAACAGCTGAAACAGCTTTGAGGAGGACATCATATTTTGATCATGTCGTTTTTTTTTTAATAAGTAGAGGCGCAAAGAGATATGAAGGCCATTTCCCTTTTTTAAATAAAATTATGATTTTTTTAAATAATATTGTTACGCCCGTGTCTACGCCCGCGTCGTTCGATGTATCAGCGAGCCGGTCTAGCTGTCGGATGTTTCCTTGACGACGCGCTGTCGCCTGTCAAACTGACGACATATTAGATTTGGAGACGAGCCGTCGTATCGTTCGGACGTGCTGTTCTCTGCTACTGATATTCCTGTTGTATTTGTCGTTCGATTGTATTGAAGGGAGTTCTTTTATAAATAAGCGTTCCATTCATTTATTCCGCGACTACGCGAGTGCGCGTGCGTGAACGCGAGTGCGCGTGCGTGAACGCGAGTGCGCGAACGTAGAAGTGTAAGGAAACGATCTCCGGGCGTAACAATATGATTCCTCTAATTATTTTGTATCTAAAAGTGTTAAAATAGAATTCAATGATTCAAAAATTCAATGATTTACGAGACATTTTATAATTTATCATACCATATTTTGATTTAAAATACGAAATATATCGTAAATTATTAATTTTTTGATAATGGTATACTTTTAGGCACAGAATAATCAAATGAATCGACTAATGTAAAAAAACACACTGTTGCTTTAAAAAAAATGTAATTAATTGCAATATTTAATTACATTTTTTAAAATAATTTTTAAATGCAAAATAATTAGAGAAATCATATTATATAAAAAAATTATATAATTCCATTAAAAAAAGTAGAAATTATCTTTATAATTTTTTATGCCTATTTTTCTATCTATAAAAAAAACGATGTGATCAAATTACATCCCCCTCAAAACCGTTCAACTTTCATTTGAAATATTTTTCGTGTCATTAAAAATAAGTAAGTATTCAAGGAGTTTGATTTAAGTAGACCACCCTAATATAATTAATCCGTCTCGCGCGTACTCTTTAACGCTGAGACATGACCGTATCTCTTGACATAAGATTTTGAGCCTTATTTCTTTATTAGAAGATAAAATTCCATAACAGTAGCTAATAAGGGCGGGTTCTAATCCATGGGGCTCCGAGGGAGGGTGAGGGGCAGGGGGGTCCGCGGGGAGGGGGAAGCTGCTCAGAACGTTCACGGTCTAAGGTTCGCGGGGAGGGGGAAGCCGCGGAAAGCCGCTCGCTCTAGCTGGCCTGACCGCGGATGTTGCGGGGAGAGGGGATCCGTGTCGTGGGTGCGGGATGCGCGGGGACAGGGGAACCGCGTTGTAGGTCTGCGGGAAGAGAGGAACCAGCACCAGTCACAGGTACTGGGTACAAAATATTTATTACAATTTATACACTTTATAGTGTCTAGTTAGAGTCACTTGAAAGATCGACTTCTGATCTAACTGTTACAACGATTGTTAGTCGACTGATTCAAGGGCTCCACGGGAACCCGCGAGTAAAAATGCAAGCCAAAGAAATAATTATCTCTCCTACCTGATAATGCGCTCACCGTGAGGATGATATTGATATATGCGTTATATCACACACACGCTCCCCCGAAATGATAGCAGCTATAAAGAATATAAATGAAATTGAAACAGTCTTAAATACATAAACGCTTCTACGGAATATCGAACCGCCAATCGAACCGATACCGCTGATCTGTTAAACAGCTATCGATCTGATACCGCTGATCTGTCGAACCGATACAGCTGATCTGTTCAACCGATACACCTGTTCTGTCGAACCGTCTGTCGAACCATCTGTCTGTTCTATCAAACCGCTATTAGATTAACTATAAAGAAATTTATATTCTTTCGCGACCTTCATTAGTTAGATACATTATACGAGTCAAGATAAAAATGAACGTGTCAGCATTCGCCGCATCTCAATGTCATGGTAATGTCACGAAGACACATAGTATGAAACCATCATCAAACCGCCTATCGAACTGATACCCCTGAACCTCCTATCGAACCGATACCGCTGATCTGTCGAACCGATATCGCTGATCTGTCGAACCGATACCGCTGATCTGTCAAACGATCGCCTGTCGAAATGTCCGTCTGTTCAATCAAACCACCTGTCGAAATGTCTGTCTGTTCAATCAAACCGCCTGTCGAAATGTCTGTTTGTTCAATCAAACAGCCTGTCGAACCGTCTATTGAACCTATTCTATCAAACCGCTATCGTTCCTAACTGTATAGAAATGTTATTCATTCGCGACCATCACCAGGTAGAAATTTGATCCGTGTCAAAGATAAATATGAACGCACACATCTCGATATGTAGTAGTGCCATATACATGTACGATCTTAACTACAAGGAAAAGGAAGAAAACATAATTTTCAAAATTTCACATTTTATTGATTAAAATATTAAGATTATACATTTTATTGTTTTATTTGATGGTGTTACCACCAGTTATATATTTTAAACACATTTTGTAATGCGCAATTCTTAACATGTTTTCCACAGCGCATAGTAATAATAACATTTAGATTATTCAAAGAAACTACATCTTCGTAATCGACATCCAGAGTTTCAATGATTATGCCGTCTCTCGTATCGAGCATATCACCAAGCCATTCTTGTTTTTGATGTCCTTTAACGTACACGATAGCCTCATCGGTATCATTCTCTTCACCAAACACAGCTGCTGCAATCAGACGTTTCGCCATGCTGTACGAAATCATCCCGTCTTCCCATCTCAATCCATGGTGATAAGCAATCAACCAGAAAGCACCAGACTTGTCGAATTTTGTTAAAAAATTCCATGGCATTGGCTCGCAAAAATGTAATGCGAAAGAACTGTATCTCTTCTCAGGACCGCCACTTCTTTTACGATAAATCTCTTCCTAACGGTGAATCCTTGCAGATCTACAAACGTTGGTACAATCATGATAAGTAATCTATCGAAACTGTGTCCTTCTCGCGAATAGTCGTAGTTTTTATCTCGGATGAGAATATTTGCAGACGTGACAATTTATGTGATTTTGCGTACAACGTTGGATAATGGGCAATATTCAATCACACGATCGTGTAAGATGAGACAATAGGCTGCAGTATTCTCCGGCACATTTTCTTTACAGTCAAATTCTATTCGCACATCCACGGTAGCGCTCTTGACAGACTCGTTTTGTCGCGTGCAGTCAATGACTACGAAAA